TTTTTTTCTTGATTGTATTTGTAATAACAGCCGCTGTTGCCATCATAATAGAGACCATATTCCTGAGATAAATTAAATAGGAATAACGAAACAAAGATAATTTGGAAAATATTTGTTTTTTTTTAATTTTCCATTACCGCATTATAATAGTAGCCAGTCTTTTGATCATAATACAGCCCAGAGGTGGGCTCATAGACAAAGCCATTCAAATTCTGTGCCTGTTCGGCTGCCTGACGTATTTCATCAACAAAACTGTCAACAGTACCGGCATTATCTACTAAATAGAAATTAAAAAATATAAGATAAATATAAAGTTACACAATAACTGAGTTGTTCCTAATACTACTGTAAACGGCTAATGCATCACACTGTCATTGCCCGTGAAGAAAGGTTATTGCAAATGTTAGTTTCTTCTGCACCTCAACCGTGTTATGTACCTACAATGGCATGTACGTATTCCGCATACATTTAGTATCTTCATAAACATATGTCTGTATAAATGCAACTAGCATTATCTTTATTGGTACTAATGTCAACATTACAAATTTATATCGCAAAACTAATAAAAAGGGGTGCATCAAAAAACCGAGCAAAGCACTTTACAAGTGTTAGGTCTTAGTGAGGGTATTTGATATCCGGGGGATGAAATTTCACTGCCAATAGTTTGCCACTGCATTTGATTGTTTGCATTTAGAAGAAAGTAAATAAAAAACGGTAATGGAGACGCCAATACCGGCGATTACAACGACATGTGATGCATTTGTTTTGAGGCTTCTTATCAGCGATTTCAGTTGTCTTCTAGGTTTTTTTTTTTTTTTGGAAACTAAGCTTTTTATTTGCACAGAGGATGCTTTCCAATTATAATGTAAAACTAATAGTTTTTCTAATCAAAATTTGAGATACTTAATTATATAGTGTGAGAGGGGCAGGTACATATGTAAACTAGCATGTACATACAGTGTGTGTTTGAATTTATGAACGAGGCTAAACATTCAAGATGCAATGGAAAATTGTAAAGGGAAATCCATACATACATATATACATATGTATATGTTTGTCTGTACAGTGTGTGAAATGTGAAAGTGATGAAATCAAAACTTAATTCCAACTGGTCGGGTTGTTGTTGTTGTAGCAGCATACAAGTTCCCCAAAGGATTTTTGGGGAGTGTTGCTGGAGTGACAGTCCTTGGCCAGATATAAATCTGGGTCGTTCCGGTTACGTAGACCCGACTGTCGTGGGAACGTTCGGTTCGTAGAGCTAAGCTTACTGTCATGGAATAACAAAAAAAGTAGTGCCAAATCGCTTTGGAGGTTACAGCACCAATTAAAAAGACAGTAAGAACTTTCCCACGACATTCGGGTATACGTAACCGAAATGACCCAGATTTCTAACTGGCCAAAGACTGTCATTCCAGCATCATTCCCCAAAAATTCTTTGGACGTTTTATATGCTTTTACAACAACAACAACAAGCCAATAATGATTGTCATTCCCACGACAGTCGGGTCTACACAGGAACGTAATTCTTAAAACTAAAACAATAATTCTCAAAACTAAAACAATATCAGTGCAAATGCAATATTCATAGAATGTGTCGTAATTTCAATATTTTTCTCACGATTTCAATGCTTGCAACAGAAAAAGGCCCACTGTGGCTGAGAAAACAGATTTTTCAAACGCTTGCTGGTAATAAAAGTTGATTTCTTATCAATTAGATTTGTGCACAAAGTCTTAAAACAGCTTTTTTGCACTAACTGAAAATAATATGGGCAGTTCCAGACTTTTTAAGCGTACCCATTTAGAATATTTGCAACCGCCTAGCTTGCAAGTTGCTGGCAGTGGTGAAAAGGCTTAGCTCCGCATATTTTTAAGTAATCACTGTGAAAAATAGTAATACTTAAAATAAAATAAATTTAAAAAAATGCAAGATCAACATTTAAAAGACTTCCTTAAAGAGTTCAATATCAGCGACTCACAAATACAGGAATTGTACAAACGTTTCACACTCGAAATACGCAAAGGTCTCTCAAAGGCGACACAAAAACAAGCCGATACGAAATGTTTTATGACTTATGTGCAAGACTTGCCAAGCGGCGATGAGAAGGGTGATTTTTTAGCTTTGGATTTGGGAGGCACAAATTTTCGCGTTTTACGCGTGTCACTAAAGGGACATCATGAAGCTGAAATCGATTTTAAGGTGTATGCTGTGCCCAAAGAAATTATGACGGGACTGGGCACACAACTCTTCGATCACATTGCTAATTGTTTGGCAGAATTTGTTAATGAATATTCACTGGGCGATCAACATTTGCCGTTGGGTTTCACATTTTCATTTCCCTGCATACAGTTGGGCTTAACGAAAGGTCTGCTAGTGCGTTGGACAAAGGGCTTTCAGTGCGCAGGTGTGGAAAACGAGGATGTGGTTAGTTTGTTGAAAGAAGCTATAGCGCGGCGTGGTGATTTAGTGATCGAGGTAATGGCTATTTTGAATGATGCAACTGGCACGCTAATGTCCTGCGCTCATCGTAATCCCGAATGTCGCATTGGTGTTATTATTGGGACCGGTTGTAATGCCTGCTATGTGGAGCGTGTGGAAAATGCTGATTTACTAGAGCCAGAGCACAAAGTTGATAAAACTCATATACTAGTGAATACGGAATGGGGCGCTTTTGGGGAAAGCGGGCAACTAGAATTCGTGCGCACAGACTACGATCGGAAAGTTGATAAATCGTCGCTGAATGCGGATACACAGCTGTTTGAGAAAATGATTTCAGGTTGGTAGTACATACATCAAGGCGAGGGGAAGGTAATTAATTACCAAGGCAATACTGATAATTGTGTTTTCTTTTGCTTAGTCTTGCATAAATTGCACCACCGAAGAAACTTGTCTAATAGTTAGTATTTTTGCAGGCATGTACCTGGGCGAGCTCGTGCGGCTGGTATTGCACGATGCCATACAAGCAAATTTAATATTTGTGCGCAGCAGTGACAAGAAAAAGTTTACTAATGCTTTAGCCGAGAGAGTAGGCTGCTTTGAAACGCGTTTTATATCGGAAATTGAAAATGATAGCTTTCCAGACTTTCAACAAACACGCATCATACTCAAAGAAATATTTGGATTGGAAAGGGCCTCAGTAGAAGATTGTCAAAAGCTCCGATATATTTGCGAGTGCATTTCAAAGCGTGCAGCCAAATTGGTGGCAGTCGGTTTAAGTGGTCTAATCAACAAAATAGGTGAACCACATGTAGTGGTTGGTGTAGACGGCACCGTTTATCGGTGTCATCCTCATTTTGACAAATATATGCGTGATGCTATGCGGAAATTGGTAAGTCCGAAAATAACTTTTGACCTAATGCTTTCCGAGGATGGTTCTGGCAGAGGTGCAGCGTTGGTGGCAGCAGTGGCCAGCAAAAATTAAAATAATACACATAAATAAATCTATACAAATTTATATATAGTACTTTGTGAAATATAGGGAAATGTTAATAAAAAATACTGCAAATGCGCACCTTCTTCTGTTTGTTTACTAACTTCCAGCGATGACGTTGGGTTTTCAACCTTATCACTTGTAGCAGCAGCAGCAACCGTTTTTTCAGTGTCGCAGTTGGCTTTAATTTGCTCGCCTTTGAGTTGTTTTAGCTAGTAAATAAAAAAATATAGGTCATGTGTTTTAGTTTGATTTTTAATAACATACCAATTCTTTATATTTATCTTTATATTTCTTGATTTTTTTGTCTTTTTTTAGAAGCAGCTCATGAAGTTCTGAAATGTAACCGCACATATCTTCAGGCCTCATATCTGCTATTTCGCTGGTTTGTTTTGTAACAAATTTCACACTGCTATGTTTAGCACATTTTTTATGACTTTCTGAATCACTATCCGACATTTTTCAATAAGTTTGCACGGATTTGCTATTAAATAAAACTAATTGAAAGAAAATATATATCTCTACGCTTTTTTTCACAAAACAGATGTTTGCCGAAGAAACTCGATAACGACTAGGGATGCCTAAAACTTTCGAGTGAATACGGGTATCGATAATCCAGATAGTTCACTTATGCTATGACCACACCGGAGCTTAACCACTATTTAAAGCTGTTGAATTGCTCATGATCCAAACCCACACGATCTGCCAAAATGGAGCAAAAGAAAAACTAATTTTTTGGCTGACGTTTGTAATTTCAACGCCATGTCATTTCTATGAAATTAACCAGAAGTAAACTACGTATATGAGGCAGAAGCTTTAAGAAAAAATTAAAGCGACCAATTTATTATTTCTGTAGGTCTTTTTGCAACAAACTACCAAAAATTGTTATCGAAAACCGCTAAAAAATTACTAAAACAAACCACCGCCACAAAGCAATCGGCCGGTCGGTGGCAAACTACACAACGGCAGTGTGGTCGGCAGGACCAGCGATATACAGTCGAGAAACCTACAAACATGGCAGAATGCAGCCCTACGCACGGCTATAGGATGTCGTTTCATATCATTCGAGCAAGCCAGATGCTGGCGGTGAAAGGGCACACCATGTTGCTATCGAAGCAGTTCCTCGTAGGATGTCACCGAGGAAATCACCCCAACAACGCCCTGCTTCGAAATTATCCGATAATTTGAAAAATTAAATATTTAAAACCAAATGTTCGGAAACGCATCATCAAACAAATTTTTGTCGAATAACTGCAAACAAATTGACGTTCGGGAATGCATCATCAAAAAATTTTTTTCGAATAACGGATGACGAAAAAAAAATTTTCAGGTGCCCCTTACGAGTTAATTTCCAACCCTTTCCGAACTTTCCCAAGCCACGACGAAAAACCTGTGCTTTCCCGCCATCTGCGGGTCATTATCGCATTCTCTTTTGTGTTTTCTCTTTGCTTCCCCACGCGTCAAGTTTTATTGAATTCAAGTCCTCGGATCTTTAAATGGGAAGCAACGAAAAGATCAAAAGAGAACAAGAAAACTTGAAACGAATTGACGGTACGGAGGTATCTGTACTCTTCCCCTCTTTCCCTGCAAAAATCGCGACTACTCCATGCATGCGTGTAAAGAGTACTCCCTAAGGACCAAGGAGTACCCCAAAATTAACCACAATTCATATAAAAAATATGGTCCAATTAACATTGCGATGTCCTAGGGCAAGACCATATACTCCATCCCCGCATTACATCAGAGTAGCACAAAACTACTCCAACATAATAACAATGGCATTGTTGCTATATTTTTTCGTTTGTACACGTTTGTGTTCTTCACTTCTCAAATACTTTTTCGAAATTAATAAAAACCAAGACAAAAATTAAAAATTATATGTTGCCTCTGACGGTATTCGAACCCGAACATGCTGGGAGCTAAGAACTAACAGCGAGCATCTCTACACGTTCAGCTACAGCCAGACATGCAAATGCGCTTTCAAATGCTCAACTTCAATCACGTTTCGTTAAAACACGAGCAGTGATCGGATAACAAACAATAAGCTAGCGCAGAGACACCAGTTGGTCCGCTACAGCATGACAGAGGAACACTTTTGTAAGTACTCCAATTTACCACAAATAGACTACATGATCCAACGATTTTTGCAGGGTTTCCCACCTCCTTCACCAGCGAACGAGCAGACTTGAAAGCAAGACTTGACGTGTCTGAAATGGGACTAAGCATGATTCAATAACGGTACTCATATACACGCGCAAGTTTCATATTTGGGCAATTGGGCAACTTTGCGCCATGTGTTTCATGAGGACAATTTTATATTTTATGCAATTTCCGACATTTAATTATTTCACTTTACTTAATTTATAAAGTTGAACAAATGAAACTCAAATTTGAGCAAATATTTATGTTTTACCGCAGTTATTTCGAAAAAGCGTTGAGCACAAACCAAAATGAATGTAAACAAAATAGATGATTGAGGATTGCACAGCACAATGCGCAAAGTTGCGCTACAAAATAGCCGCGAAACGGCGCGAGCGTGAGCGTGAACTTTCGCAAAGGCAAAGAATTCCATTTGTATTCATATGGACGCTCACACACATCTGTCAAACCTTGTCGTTCATATGCGAATGCTTTGCGTACGCACACAGTTGAGTGTGAGCTTGAAAAAAAGGCATATTATGCATTTTAAATTAGTTTTTATTCTATAATTCTGAAAGATATTTTAACTCTCTATTTTTTGATGTATCAACTATTCCAAAAAGTTAAGTAATAACGAAGATATTGGTCAAAATAAAAAGCTCACGCTTTGTCAAGAGGGAGCGAGAAAACTGTTTTTTGAGCAAACCTTTTATTATTGAATCATGGATTACAAGCTTGCGCAATCTCGACGGCGATTACATTTGTGGGTAAAAAGTATCGAAGCCGAATAAGAGGATAAAAGAGGATGTGAGATTAGTTAGTTATCTAAACCGTCTTAACCACAGTATATACAGTAATAAAAGTATGTTAACATATTAATATACAGCCTGATGCTTGTTGTTTGTTCTCCGGGAATTTGTTTCCCTCAAGAAAGAGATCCTCCAATAATTAACTTCCAGGGAGTAGCATTTTCCTCGAAAATTTGGGAGGAGGAAATTCGCACTTCGAAAGAATTTTTTTACACTTGTTTTACAGCTCAACTTCGCCATTTACGTAAAAAGTCCTTAAGGCATTTTTATTCATGATAGTACGAAAGGGAAATGAAAGAAAACTCCCAGGAAGTTTCCATTCAGAATCGCCCTAATAATCTCAATCAAATCTTTTTTTTCAAATCACCCCGTTTACACAGGCAAATCTCAAATTATTAGCCATCAAATTTGTTGTGGTAGTTATTCTCACATCTCAAGAAAAAGTTGCCTGTCCACCGTTATCACTATTGTTTGCTTTATTGCGCAATTTAAATTTATTTTAACTTCATTTGTATTAAAAATACCATTCGACTTGGTTAAAACAGAGAAACTTTTGTTGCTCATTTTCGGCAACTTCTCTTTTGGCTTTGCCCTTCGCGTTCGCACAGAGCAACTACTTTGTACACAACTGTTGTTGTCAGCTGTGAACCGCCAACTTGAGTTACTCAGACGAACGAGAGCACAAAGCGTGTGAACCGAGCACGAGCAACTCGGTACCTTTTATTTATTTATTTATTTAATCAAATGGAATAAATCCTTACTGACTATAAAACAAGAGAACTGACTATAAAACAAGAGACTGACAAACACAAACTTCGTGTTGCCGCAATAAAACTTTCTGTGTCTGAACCCAGACTTACAAACCTCTTTTCCTTGCCAGCGATTATTTTTTGTTTACTTTGACATAACTTAGGGTTTACACCGGACAATACTGTCATGACAATCCATGATGAGTGTTTTTGGGTTCCTTTCCACCTTGTTTTCCTTTATACAACTGTCTTCAAAGAACAACTGATAGCTGGCAATGCAGCGCATATTTCGAAAGTGTTGCCGCTACAATAACAACAACAACAAAGTGTTAGAGCATGTGGATTTTTCGTTTTTCGTAACGTAGCTACGCATACCAAATTTCGAAAAATTGGGTTCTAGAATAAGATAAAACTTTTTCTCATTGCGGAACAGACTGTATATAAGCTGACAGCTTGTTTCATCAAAATTCCTAGCGGGCACTTTATTCCATGCAACTCTGTGCCGGTTTATTTTCATTCTGTTTGAGCGGTCAAACATGCAATAAGTGAATTTTGCAAACCCTGCGAATTTCCTCGTTTTTGTAAACAATTAAAATAATATACGATTTGTTAGTACAGTTTAAGACAGCTTAAAACAGGGTTTTAATAGAGAAAACTTCAAATAATTTAGACTTCTGCGAAAGTGTGCTCAAATGGCGTGCAAAAACTGTTTGGTCATCCTCAGCTTGTTTGCACTTTGTAGCATTTCTGTTGCATTAAAATTGAACTACCCGCGTGTGTTGCTACCAATATTTAACAAAATATCAGTAAATTTTACTTTGGAAGTCATTGAAAAAGGATGTTTTAAGTGGTAAAAACCAGTTAACTTTGTAACAGGCAGCTGCAACAACGCGCCAAATCTAACCTCAACAACTGAATTTGTCTTGTCTCACACAGCTGCTGAATAATTAACTTGCAAATTAGCTAAAATTACTAATTTTTTCGTATTTATCTTATAGGTCATCATCCCGCCAAGATCTAATACTTGTCACACCACTCTATGAAGATGTGGAAAGCGAGTGCTCCTACCGTGCAACAGTGACTGTATTAACACGTGAAGCTCATCACAATGCTGCCATTGTGTTGGCCGAGGACGTCACCACTGGTGAAAATTTGCGTTGCGATGTTATACTTGATGTTATTGACAAATTAGGTGTACATACAACAACACGACAGCTCTTTCTAGAGGAAGCGCCGGAGACCTTTGAGCTGCGTGCGGAAGATTCGCAAGGCAATGAATTCACCACACTAGAAGGTATTGAGTTTAGTTGGGTGATCTCTTCTTTGAGCAGCCGTGGGGGTAATAAAAATTGGGCGCCGGCTTTGCGATTCCTTACCTTCAATGAAAGTCCTTATCACGTGGTGCCTCCGGCATTGGAAAAGTTTGAGGCACAGCGATTAAAAGGTTATATGGTGTTGTTAGAGGGCATCAACACAGGCACCGCTAAGGTATTCTCCTTGTTATGAGTTCTTTTACCGAACTTTAAGCAAGTTTTAACTATCCGATTTTCTCTTAGGTTACTATTAGTATTCCTTATCCTGAGTATAGTCATGTGCCAAAAATAGAGGTGTTTATAAACGTTTTGGCCAATATCATACTAGAACCTTCAGATGTGCATTTGCTGCCTGGTGATACAATCAACTTCCGCATATTGCAATTGAAAATGGGCAAACTACAGGAAATTTCTCTGAATGACCAATACTTCTTAGAAATCGAAGATAGTAAAGTCGCATCAATAAGCGGTAATAGCGCTAACGCCTTAAAACTTGGTAAAACCGTGGTAGTTTTGCGCGACCGAAATGCACCGTTTGACGAAGAAAATAGTCATCTAGATAGCGCGCTTGTAAAAGCTTCAACGCCCAGCGCGCGAGTGACCGTGGCTGAGCCTGTGCGTTTGGGTCTGAGCCTGTTGCCACACAATAATTGGATTACGGTAGAGGGCGAAAAGCATGAAATAGCATTGGATTTATACACACGGTATATTATATTTATATATATACAGTATCGGTCATATATATAGCACGCGATTTCAAAGTGTTATTGTGTGCCACTTATGTTTATTTATTTTTAAGAATTTTAAATTAAAATACAATTCTTTCTGTAACAAAATCCATATAAACCCAAGTTTAACAATTTGTAAAAAATTACAAAAAAGTGCCACAAATTTTCACCTAAATTTCAAACTTTTTTCTCGGAGGTGTTAGAGAATTTTTCTGAATGCACAGTTTTATAGCCTAATCAATTTTAGTCTGATAATGTGCAAGTTTCAAGCGGTTAAAAGTTACCGCTGATTTTTTAGAATTTTTTTCGCCAAAGGTGTTGCGGTTTTCTTCCACATACAAATAAATTGAGCTTATTTATTATATAAAAGCCAATGCGACAAAAAAAATTTAAAAAATTAACGGTTATTCGTAGCCACTTGAAATTTGCACATTATCGAACTAAACTTGCAGGGGCTCAAAAACTGTGTACTCAAAAAAGTTCAAACACTACCGAGAAAAAAGTTTGAAATTTGGGTGAAAATTTGTTGCACTTTTTTGTAGTTTTCTACAAATTGTTAAACTTGGGTATATATGAGGTTTGTCTGCGAATGAACTAAAATTTAATTGAAAATTCTAAAAAATAAATAAATGGCGTATGACCGATACTGTATGTATTAGTAAATTTATTTATTTTAAATATAAATATATGAATTATATTACCCTTGGCGTTTAGTGATGATCACAAGATTACACTAGGCTCACGTTTCTCCATGCAATCGGAGTTAGATGAGGTGCTCTTCTATATACTATCAAAAAACAAAAATGGTAGTCGCATATACGGCGAAGCTATGCGGGAGGGCGTTTCACCAGTTTATGGTTATTTCAAAGAAGTTAGTAACTGAACTATAAGTTTTATTCAAATGTTTTAAAGCTATTTATATTCCTTTTATTCAGCTCACAGCACAAGCTGAGTTGCAAATTTTTAGTGAATTATTACTTTCCCCGAACAAAGTTATACTTCCTTTCGATCCTAACGTTGTAAAGACACAAAAAATTCAATTTCATGCTCGGGGTGGTGATGGATCATTTACTTGGCACTCGCAAAATCAACGAAGTCTACATATTTCACAGACTGGACTCGTAAGCACAGTTATACGGCATTCGGAAAGCAAGCGCTCTCAAGGGGATATATTTGAAGAAGGTGCAATACTCACCACTCATGCTACCATTAGAGTGGCACTTACAAAGAATCCCAAAATTACTCGCCAGGCAGATATATATTTCTTGCCACCTAATAAATTGGAAATTATAAAACATAACTTTGAAACAGCTTTGAAAGATTATGTACGTCTACATGTCGCAATATATGCCTACGTCAATGAAACACTTGTGCCATTCACACGTTGCGAAAATCTTGTGTTTGATTATGAGTTTTCTAATCAGATCTTCCAAGTGGATTATAATGAACCAACAACTCAAATGCAGAATAATGCATGCCAAGTAGTGCATCTACGCAGCACTGCTGTAGGTCTTACTAATTTGCGCATCTCCTATAAATTCCAAGACAAAGTGCTTAAAGACGAGGTGACATTAAGCGTATTTGAACCACTGTTAGTTCTAAATCCCACCGAGAATGAAGTGATATTGCCTATAGGTTCCTCGCGCAATATCATTTACGCAAATGGTCCACAGAAAATGTTCACCTTGGAAAGCGATTTAACAAAATCATTGGCATACGACGGAGCCATTGCTGAGATCAGCGAATCAGCGGTTGGGTCACAGGAACCCATGCACGTCTTCAATGTCATGTGTCGTAAAATTGGCAAAACTACTTTCACATTCAATATTCACAATGCTTTGTTGACCTCCAACTTCCAACCCTACATTTCCACTGTTAGCACCACAGTTCATTGCGTTAAACCACGTTTCCTCAATCTTTATGCAACAGAACAGTTGCGGTCCTCTTGCCCAATGGAGGTGAAGAATTCATTGTTGCACATTAAAGAGCGTGATGACAAATTTGAAATCGAAATTGAGGTACAGGATTCAAAGAATCGCAAGCTGATGAATATTACTTCGCTGTTTATTGACTGGGAATTCACTGCTGGCGACGAGCGCTATCAAAACGATGCCATCATGCACTTTCGACGCACTGAAGAAGAGATTTTCGAGGGCGTGAGGTTACCTTCGCGTGATGTGCTCATAACCACCATAGCAGATGTGGCACAGAATTTCCGTATTAAGGGTGTAGTGACGCGCTATGATGGAACGGTGCTGAAAAAACACGACATTTACGCAGAAGAACCAAATTTTGGTGTAAAGAATGTATGTTGTAGCATTTTTCCATTGCCGTTCTTGATAACAGTAATAATTTAAAAATTTTCAGCCCAAAACCGGTGAAGTGCACACCCCTGTCATTGAGAATGAAATTCGTTTTATGGCTGTTAATAGCACACTGTTCCCTAGTGACCACGTCAGCATTTTTTTGGCTAAAAATCGTCGTGAACGCATACAAATTTCTCAGGGCAGTGGCTTCTATGAATTCGAATTATATGAACAAAACGTTGTAAGCGTTGAATATGATGCCAAAGAAAAGGAATTGGTGATCACTCCGCTGCGCGTGGGACATGTAAGTGAATTTATTTTAAGTGTTTGTATAGAAAGTTCCGGATATTTAAGGTATATTTTATGAAGGAAAAAGTTTTTACAAATTGAATAAATAGTCGGAATACATATATGAGAGATGAGGTATATATATTTTTCAGAGTTATTGAGGCATATTCTGGATTTCGTACGAATCGAAAATTTCAAATTATTGT